GTTTTCACTGGCTTATTTCATGAACAATATATATCAACCTGCAGTACCAACACTAAAGTATACATTTTCCTTTTTTAGGACAGTTGATTTAAATACAAAAGTCTTAAGCTTTTGCTTCAACCATATAATGCTCTGGATGTGTATTAGGATTGTATTATTTGCAGTAAGGAATGAATTCATCATTTATTATTTTCTTCTCTCTTTGAATTTAGATTTGATAGATCAGCTCTCGTTTTTTCAGCAAAAAGACATTTATCGTAGGCAACAAATTTACGGCCAAAGTGCTGTGTGGAGTTTTGATTACTCAGGAGACTTACACTCCATTCCTAGTTTTGACAAAGGCTTTCTCTGCATCTTCAGGTTTGTAAAGATTTAGCAAAGCTTTGAGCATGTTGGTACTTTATTCACAGCTGAGCACTAAATTCAGAGAGGTTATGAAACATGTGCTTTGGGTCATTATTTCCTTTTGGGTTAGCTTCCCCATCACTAAAATGGGCTATTGGTATGAGCTTTGGTTTTGTAGTTACAGATTGTGAGCTTTTCAGTTCAAAAATTCTCTCCTTTTTTTTGTAGAAGTGTTGAGTAGTTGAGTAAAAAGAGGCCTCTAAGGTCTTGGAAGGTTTGCATATAGACTGCAGTGTTGAACAACCAACAAACTTTGTGTCACCATTACTCCACAGGCAGTTGTTAAACATCACAGTGAAAATGGAGCATCCTTCCGCTAACAGTTCATACAAGCAAACAAAATTAGAAAGTGAAGTATGTGCTTCGCATTTGGAATTTATCTATAAGCATAATATAAATTTTCTCATAATTATGAAATTATAATACTGTTTCTTATTTGGCTTACTCTTGATAGCCTTGTCTATTTGTTTACTCTCTATGTAGCACCAAAGGTATGTTACATCACATAATGTGTACTTTAGTTTAAAAATCAGAAATAAACATATGTTTATCTAATAAGTGCTTCTAATATACCTTGAAATTGAATCACATCACTCAGCATCAATAGTACTTTAAATATTATATTCTTAAAAGATTATATTCTGAAGCCTGCATTAGTAGCATTACCATTTTTTTTGCTTTCAGTAGACAAAAAATAAATTGTAATTTGAAATGCTTATTCTTTCCTGAATTGTAAGAATGGTAACATGTTCATAAAATCAGATGAAATTGCCTGTATGCCTTTTCCCTCACTATGCTATATGTATTCTGCCATCCCTCTCAAGCTTCAGATCACATTCAGATCTGATGAGGTATGAGGTCTCTTCTTAGCCTTCTTGGGAAACAGTGGCTGCATTTACAGTGTCCTGCAAGATGACATTTTCAGATGCTCCTTCAGCCACAGTCTTGCAATATCCCTATGCTGCCAATATTGTGCCTCACTAGGCCATGGGGGAAAGCATGTGGCTCTCACCTCTTTAAAAATGCTATGGCAGAACCAGGGCATCCTTCTCTTCTCATTTACAGGGCTGGCCGTGCTGTCACATCACTTACTGGAGCCCTTCCAGGAGGAAGGGCATATTACACAAGAACTTCACAAGAAATTCTAGATTTAGAGCAACCACGAGGGCTTCTTCAACCAAATCAAAACTTCCCTCACTCCACAGCCACCAATTAAATGGTATTCAAGCTGACAGTCAGACTGTATGAGACTCTGTGTCCATACCTTGCACACATAACACACAGTCCTTTGGCTTTCAGAGGCTATTCTCCCCACATACTGCCGAACTCACACTTGAATGATGCCATCCTGTTGCTGGTATCACAACAGGTGTGTGAGCCAAAACCAACCCATGGCTGACCTTTATCAAGTAAATGTACATCAATTTTGATCCAATGGTAGCACAGCCAGCATGTCACCTTAAAAACACACACAGATTTTTCTTACCTTTACTAGCTTAGATAACATTTCTTGATTCTGTTTTCCAGACCAGGTTCTCCTTAGGCACTCAGATGTATCATGTCTAGACCTACTGCTTACTTGAACTGCAAACTGAAGAACCAGAGCACTGTGTTTATTTCCTGGTCAGATAATCCCCCTTTACTTTCTTCCCACCCTCAAATTCTATTCTCTTCCTCATTAAAATCAGCCAGCTAAGAAATCTTACAGGAAAGGATGTTAGTGACTCTCTTTATAAATTCCCTTGTTTCTTTAAACTTGTGCTGTAGATTGCTCTTATGATGGACCCCCTTACCCATGTGTGTAGAGTCATGTCTTTGACAAAGGGGACAAGGTAAATCCTGACAGTTCTTAGTCCTTAGAGGGAGTGGGAGCTGAGTTCTTGTGCTTGGAGTTAGTGGTTTGGACAGGTGCATAATCCAATTGTATTGGATACAGTGAACACACGTTTTAAAAGTATTTGGACAATCTCCAAAGCTAACTTCAGCATTGGGCCAAGAATTTCAGCGTTGGAAAGACTTGCCTGACAAGATTGGAGGCAAGGAATGTATCTCTAATATCCATATGTGATGTACTGGGGCTGGGAGGGAGGGATGCTGTGCTGTGTTAAGGCAATGGCTGAGTGTCTGGTCAGACACCCTCAGGTGTTACTTGGATGCAGCATTCTCTGGTAGAGCTTAGTGTCACATAGCATCAAATATTGCCAAATGCCCAGTAAAAGTGTGGCATTGTTAGCCTGTTGGAACATAACTTCTTTGGGAAGCTCCAGATTATATTTTTGTTTTGCTTTTAAGTTTTTTACTTTTAATTCCACCAGTCTCTTGGGGAGACATGGGCAGCTGAGACCATGGGTTCCCTTCTCTTTTCAGAAAATCTAACAGCTTGGAGGTCTCTTGATGAGAGGTATTTTCTCTGGCCACCTTTGGGAGGCTTTTAGTTGATTGCAGTAAAAAGGATGGAGAGGGATGACATTTCTGAGGTCATTTCTGATGTCATTTGCTGATGTTTTCCTTATGAAAGTGTCTTCAGATTTTCAAGTGCTTTCAGGTATTCGTCAAAGTCAAATCTTTACATATATGAGGCAGTGCAGAGCTGTAACAGTATGTGAATTTTCAGAATTTAGGCAGTATTGTAAAAGTGAAGACATATTATTCCAATTGGATGCTTTAACCGCAGCAGTCATAGAGAGCAAGTTAATGTGAATATGGATCTGTCCATAATACATAATCATTGCAATTTGACAGCTCCATGGTTTAAAGATTAGTCAGAGCTGTTTTAGCTATTCTTTTCTCTTTACACCCCTGATTTTATCTAATGTGAAAAGATGTGAAAAAGAAAGTTTATGCATGTTAACCCCCTCAGCATTACCTTATGTATCTCAGCAAAGATGGGAGGAAATCCCCCACAGGATGGAGAATTTTTTGAATGGTGATCATACCTGTAACTTTATATATGGAAACTCTTAATTTGCCTTGTGCTGCCTTTCCCTTTTACAGGAAGATTATAAAAAGCTGTGAATCAAGCCTCTACTTCTCTCCCTCTGTGCAGGCTTAACTCCTCAAAACTTCTTCCTCAAATGTCATTTGAGAACAAATCCTGGCTTGTCTATGTCTAACCTTCTTTCTTAACAGCTCCCCTATTTCCACCCCTGGTTTTCAGAGATGCCAAAATGTGATTTTCCTGCTCAAAAGACCTTGCATGCCGAGTAATTCTTCTCCTCAGCAATGCTTACTTACCAGATGACTCAGTAACTTCCAAAAGCTTCATGCTGCTCTTCCTTCCTCTCATCTTCGCACTGCGTAGATATGCATATGCTTCTGGCATCTGTAAAAACACTGTATCTGCCTAGCACAGTTAGAGCTCCTTTAAACTCAAAAGCAGAAAAATGTGTGCAGACATTCCTCTCTGGGCACAGAACTTCTCTATGACTTAAAGCACAGATAAGCCTCACTTAGAGAGAGGAAAAAAAATGAAAGGAAAATTGTGGTGCTAGCAAGGATAGAAGCGGAGGAACAGTTGCAATGTATTTTTCAGAAGCCATTTTTGAAAAAAAAATTGAGAATTTCAACTATTTTTGAAAATACAGGAAGATTGTTGGCACTTCTTTGTTCACAGAGTTTCCCAGCTTCTGACTTCTTAGGGAAACCAGTCCTGGAATCTGAGATGTGACCTCTAGGGAGTAAACCAGAAAACATTGCCTACAAATGCATACAGCATTTACAGCAATTTTGTTTCTTCAGCAGTGTTTTCTCAAGTCTTACCATTAAACAATTAAATCTGAGAACCAAAACTTGTAGCAGTGCATGTTAGCCAGTTTCTGTTTATGTTAACAGCTGTACAGACATGCACTTCGATAAGTGAGTCCTAGGAGTGAATGTTCATGTGAGTGTTTAGCTAGAATTTGGGGAGAGGATGTTCTTCACACTTGCTGCTCTGTAAGTATTGTCCTGGGCAATGTAAGAGAGTTTGTATTCCTGACTTCTAAGCAGGAACTATATTAGTGACTGGACATGTGGGAGTGATTGGTTGTGGAAGACAAAGCCAGCATGTGTGAGTGTTCAAGGCACATGTATGTATATATAAGACAAGCTGAAATTCACCCAATGGGGGAAAAAAAGCAATTCAAGCCCTTTTCCCTGTAGCTTATAAGAACAGAAGAGATATTTCACTCTGATGGTTAACTGTCTACATACCAAACAGGTACTCTGATCATGAGAAGTTAAATCAGTTAGGGTAATCAAGCAAAACACACCTCAGAATTTGCCTTTCAGAACAGGAATGATGGTGATGTAAGGTTAGTCAATCTTCAGATACTCAGACTTCACTCAGGAGCAATTTACATGCCGTGGCCCTTAGAAAAACTGAAGATGTAGAGTGACTGAGCCAAGTTAATAAGTAGTTCGAATAATTACCAAAAAACTTCAGTAACTCCAGTGCCTGAGCAATTCAGAGTAAATCACTGTGGATGTCAATGAATCGTTGGTAACATATACCCCTGCCTGCATTTTAGCAAGGCAATGCAATCTGACATCCCAATGTGATAGTTCTACTATGAACTTTCTTTTGATCTGAATATTTCTATTACACTATTTTTCAGGTCCTGATTATATCAAACAAAAATTTCAAGAAGGAATGGATGGAAAAGAAAAATCAGAAGAAAAAGGTCAGGAGAAACCACCCACCCCAAAAGAATCACCTCACTTTTATCGAAAAGGTACTACACCCCCTCGAACCCCAGAAGCAAGCCCAAGAAACAGTCCTCCTCTTTCCTCTGAGAGTTCTCCTTCAAAACAACTGAAAAGGCAAAGCTCCACTTCTGGGGCAAGACTCAGTCAAGAAAAAAAGCTTTTAGCCACTGAGAATATTACACCCACAATTAACAAGCCTTTATACTCAAAAGCACCAGTGAAGGAGGAAGTAGCTGGGAAACACCAGCCAAAGCTTTCAGCCCAGCACAATCCCAGCAGCACAGAGAACGGGGAGCTGCATGGTCACTACCATGGCTATTATGTAAAAATGAATCCAACAGTGCTTCCACAGGAGCTCAGGGAAGAAGATGAATATGCCAACCCTTCACCATCAACACTTGCACGGATACCACCCTCTCAGAAGCCAAGTCCTGCTCGATCTGGGGGTAAGCCAGATGCCAAAGAAAACAAGCCTGACATAAAAATTAAGAAAACAGAATTTGCTGCACCAAAGAACCCAGCTAATAATGAATCACATTCAGCAATGGAGAAAGAAGTAGGAAACAGCTCGGTAAGTACTGCAAGAAACATTTTCACTTTCCTGCCCTTTTGCCTCCAAGTGCTGAGCTTTGCAACCTAAGCACAGGCAAAGCTCACTTCTGTCAAATCTTCATCTGGATACAGTCTGCTGGCTAAAACCCACTACACCTGGAGCAAGGAAGAAATATTCCAGTCTGGAATGAGCAAAGGAGTTTTAAAACTACCCTTTCAGATCAGTGTGAATCTTAATTTCATTATTATTTAAAAATAATCAAATTATCAATAGCTATGCAGAAAAGGAGTGTTGACTATTAGCATTTCTATTTCATGTTAGAAGAAAAAGGCAGGATATGGAATTCAGAATCTCTGATGATGATTCTGTGATTTTGGGGCCAAGAGAAACTCGGGAAAGCATTAGTTTTACATCCTAAAGTTAACCTTTAGCAAATGAAGAGTTTTAGATGCTTCTCTTTTATAATCATTGTTTCTTTAAGTCATTTACTACAAAACAACCAGTGTGTCAATACTGATGGGATAAACAGAATGACCCACTTAAAGAGATCCAGGTAGCCTAGTACTGATTGCAGGCAAAACACTTGAATAATTGACACCAGACTTCCTTAATAAAGAATTTAGAAATAAAGAGGGGGAGTAATCTCCAACAAACATGAATTGTAAATTATGTCAAACATAGTTTGACAAACAAGTTTGACATCTCCAGGTGTGACAGAAGAATCATAACCTCAATCAAGAAGGTCATTTGATTTGCTTTTACGTAGTCATGCATTCTGACAAGGAAACCAGAGTAATACAAAGGCTAAATGTCACATTAAAAGAATTTTTTAAAACTGACTGATGGTTCTCAAAAATTAATTAGAAAACCATCAATTATTTGATATTATTCTGGTGAGGTCGCTCTTAAAATCATTCTGTTACTCTTACCACATTCTTCTTAATGACATACAAGAGGACATGAAAATATTGTCCATGAAGTTTATAGAAGACACGGAGACCAGGAGAGTGGTCTATAGTGAAGACAAACACAAATGCAAATCCACCTCATGCAAATCAACTGCTAAGAAGGCTTAAAGTATAATTATCCAGGGCAGCACAGCAAATACAGTATTGTATATGAAAGACAATTTATAGAGCCTGGCCATGCAGGAGCAGAACTAGAAAAGGTTGGTGGATCTGGAGCAAGAGAGACAACTGAATATGAGCTTCCAGTCTGCTGCTGTTGTTCAGAGATGTTAATATAATCCTTAGATTTATCAACAGAAAAGATTAAGCAAGAGTACGTGGGACTCTGTTCTGTCTGCTTTTGGCACGGGTGCAACCACTTCTGGGATAAAATAGTGTCCGTAAATCGGGGATTTAAAACGAAAAAAAAACCTCCAGGGGAAGTCACACAAAGGGCTGCAAGAATGATTAAAACATATCTTAAAATGAAAGATTCAAGGTACACACAGAATCACACACAGACCCCTGATGTATTAAATCACTTTCTGTAAGTGTGCTTTATAAAACAGTTTCCAGACTAACAAGCAAATGTGTAAGAAGATCCAATAGCTAGAAAGATTCAGATAAAAGTCTTGTTTTAAGTTGATTTGAATGATCTTTATTAAACATGCCATCAATTTTCAGATGCCTGGGTTTTGGAGCCATCACTGAGTAGTTTGATAATGAGCATTTTGCCAAGATGATATTCTCTAGTTCTGCAGGAAGCTTTTATTCTGTTTTGGGCGGATTAAAGCAGATGTTCACAGAGGTTTTGTAATCTGCAAATCTGTATTACAGCTGATATCAGCCCTTTAACCTTTCAAATCTCACAGATATTACTCCTATGTAGGGTAACACAAAGCTGACAGGCTTGTAAATGTTGAGTGAGCATGTACAAATTTTAGGCTGAATTGGAATTGTTTTTTAGCTCTGGTGAAAATAAGTCACTAGAAATAATCCTTATTTTTCCTTCATTCCAGAATAATATTTTGGAGCTGAAGGTGGCTTCATCTTAACAAGCAGGGTACCTGAACAGCAGCTTATTTACCTTCTAGAATTATCAGGATAAGGACCATGAACCTACAGCCTGCTGTCACAAAAGGTGTAGAAATTATGAGATCTTGTGCATTGGCTACTGTTTGTTCACTGATACTGCAGTGATACCTGGGAACTCTACTCTAGGGCCCTCTACTTCATTTGGAGACCCCTAATTGCATTATTCTTATTATCAGCATTCCAGTATGGAAGGAAGGTAGATCTCAGGAATTCGTTTTTACTATAACAGTATCTTAAGATATATGTAGGTGTATGTGGGTATTTTTCAAAGACTTGAATCTTCTATATATGTCTGTAAATTTGCCCTTATAGACTGAATTTCCTACATGCTTATTTCTTCAAAATGCTGAGAGTAAAAATGCTAAACTAATTAAAGCAAAAAAGAGTAGCCTATTGGCCTAGCAGTCTGTGGGAGAAACAGTACAGAATGACTATTAACTTTGCTGGAGACTTTTAATTTTCAGTATTGCCATTCAGCTTCAGAAAAGCAGTAGCCTGTTCTGCAGTGCTCCTGGACTGAGCTCAGCTGTGTGTCGGAAGCAGTGACTAAGCTAAGAGAGCACAATTACTGAGGAGAAGCCAGATTCATAGAATCATAGAATAGTTTGGGTTGGAAGAGATCTTGAAAGATCATCTAATTTCAGTTCTCAGAACAACCTTCCATTAGACCATGTTGCTCAGAGCCCCATCCAGCCTGGTCTTGAACGTTTTCAGGGATGAGGCATCCACAGCTTCTCTGGGCAATCTGTTCCAGTGCCTCACCACCATCACAGTAGAGAATTTCTTCATAATATTTAATCTAAACTTCATCTCTTCTGGTTTAAATCCATTCTCCCTTTTCCTAATTAATGTATTTCTCCTGGATGCTTCTGAATGTTGAGAGATCTCAGAATTCTAGAGTTGCTTTGGGGAATTATTTTATTTCAGTAAGAAATTGCAATTCCTTTTTAATCATTCTGACAAATGATTTCGTTATGCTCTGAAAGTAAGTCTGCCTTAGATGCTCCATAAAAGTTCTAAAATATGTTTGTTAAGGAACATCAAGAGAAAAGAACTCTCTCATAAAAATAGAATGATAAAACATGGTTTTGAAATGCAAAAAAAATGAATCTATTAACATTTATAGAGCACTTCTGTTAGATTATCTGATAGTCCTGTATAAAATTGTGCTGTGCTTTTTCAAGGTTTCCAGTGATAACACATTAAGAACACAGATACAGAAGAGAGGATTTTCAATTCTTCTATGTGTCTAAATCAAAACCATTTTTCATACCTCCATGAAATACCAGCTTTAATTTGGATGAAGAACTTTAAACTACTTTATTTGCAGCAAAAATTTTGTAGCAGTTGTTTTAGTTACCAAATTAACGTTTCATATCTTGTAATGTGGCATCCTTAAGAATGTCTTTGAGTATTAGTTATAGGAATGATTCTCTAGATATCCCCATTTCTGGCATTATACTTAAAAAATATCAGCACATACTTATGCCACACATACAAATATGTTTCCCTGTGTGCTTACTCCCTAATGTTCAAAAATCAAAGTCTTGAAATTATTCCAGAACTCACCTGTCATTTATGAGAGATAAATCACTGAGAATGAGGCTCCTTCACATTATCTTGCATTTACCACAGTGTGAAGTGTTCACAGAGACACTTGACCACAAACCAGTATTGTTGTTTCTAACTGGTCATTAGCAGCCTCTAGCCCCAGTTTCAAATTTCATGCTGCTATCCCACCTTGGATACGAGATGATTGGAGATTCTCTTGGATTCAAGTGAAAAATAGGATTGAATTTCACAAGATACTATTGTAGTGTACGTTCATGAATACACTTTTTTTTTTTTTTTGCCTGATACCTGTCCATTTGCTGCCCTAGCACAGATAACAAACCCAGGCTCAAGTGTTGTACTAAATTGTAATTTTTTTTTCACTTGGCAGGTAAAGATTTTTAAACACACAGTGTATAGCCTGGTTTTTACTTGAATGTTACTCAGTGATTCTATCCCATCCTTTTGTTCAATTCTCATATTTTTTTTTTTTTTTAACAATTATGTTTGAAAAATAGATCTGTATTTGCCTGATCCTAAAAAAAAAAACCTCTGAGCAAGAACTTTAGGCTAAATTTAATGGACATTCCTAATGCAATGGAATTACAGGCTTAGTCTTTTATTTCCTGGCACTACATTTTAGGAAAATAACTTTCTTTGTTTCTTCCCCAAATGGAAACTAATCATATGCTTGTATTTTGAACCACATAAATGTCTAGCTTAAAAGAAGCTGAAGGGGTAAATTTAAGCAGGACTGAAGGTTTTCTACTACAGCTTCTTCAGTGCACCTGTTCTAGTCACTCTAGGACTGTTCAAACTAAATTTGGCTTTTGCTATTTTAAGCCCTTGTGGGACACTAAAGTCTTACTTGTGGTATTTGTCTTAAAGCATTAAATGCTTGTTTCATGGGTGTCTACAAAACAGGCCTAGTTCATTGCATAATAACTGTGTGCTCCATAAATGTTGTTTGATCATTTTTTAGTGTTTTAGGAAATCCTGCTTTGGGCTGAAAGGTGTAGTTACCAGGAGGTGAAACAATGCACATAGCAGGACAAAGAATATGAGCTTTACTTCCTTGTATAAAGAGATATCTTTATGATACTTCATTATCATAGAGATAACATATTCTTCTATGATCTTCATGTGAATTCAACAGCCCAGTTCTTAAGGTGTCACTTGCTTCTGTCTTTGTAGATGAGACTTTTTATTCAGAGCATAGCCCCTGGGGTTTTTAGCCTAATTTATCTTATGTTGTTGTGGTGAAATGGTTGTACCTAACCTGACTGACAGATGCATCAAAAGAGAAGTACCCTTCCCCTCCAACAAGCTTAATTAACTGAGACTGTGCACTAATGATACCGAGCTGCCATTAGAACTGCAGTCCCAATTTGGCAATCAGTAAAAATCTGTCCTGCAGCTACCAGGATGCTGTTCCATGATGTATTTCACATAATGAACAAATTTTTGGCTCCTGTGAAGACACCTAGGTTTCAATTTTGTTTTCAGTTGCAATAAATCATTGTGATTTTCATAGATGTGATTTTCAAATACACAATGTGCTAGATGGCCAAATCCTGAAAAATTTTAATGGTACTTGGCAATGATCTTCAAAGTTCTTTGCAATTCCTGGTGCAATATGACTGTAAAATCTTCAGGTAGGATTCCAATCTATAAAGGAACCATTGACCTGTTTTGAATCACATGGGCAGTTGCTATTAGAATCATAGGATTAAGGAACCATAGAGTGTTTGGGTTGGAGGGAACATTAAAAGACCATCTGGTTCCAACCCCTGTGCCATGGGCAGAGACACCTTCCACTAGACCAGGTTGCTCAAAACCCCATCCAACACTTCCAGCCATGGGGCATCCACAGCTTCTCTGGGCAACCTGTACCAATGCATAACACCAGAAAGAAAGATGTTAAACCCACATCTTAGTGGAAATTAATAGTGTAATCAAATCACACTTCTGTAGAGAGCAAGGCTGCTCACAGTGCTGTGGTAACCATATCTGGAGCTGTGCCTTCCTTTTGTGCCTGTTCTCTGCCCCCGAGTGTCTCGTATGCTTTGGCACATGGTGAGTCACTTCCACTAAGGAGGAAGGAACATGGTTCCACTTCTGTTCTGTGACCTGATGGTCAAAACATACCACTGGTAAGTGGGAGCTTGTTATTCAAAATCACTTTGACTAAGGTGTCATTAAACCTGGTCTTCAGTTTCCTAGAGAATATTTTGGACATTGTACTATTAAGCAAAATGTGGGTGCTATTTCCAGTACCATTACCCCATGGCATCATTTAATTGGCATTCTGATAATTTCAGTCATTGTTTGAACTTAATCATGGGTTTCTCAGCATGTGAACAGACACCTCTGAGTTGGTGCAAAGGGAACTTGATGGCTGTTATGGATAGAGGTGCTAATGAGGTTTAGACTCACCAGAGATTTAAGCAGTTCCTGACATAATGTATTTAGTGAATTACACAAAAACTTAGCAGCCCACATCTGGCCTGCCATCTGAACTACTGTGTAAAGGTGTGTTCTGATGAGGCTGTTTCAGGAGAGCATGTAGTATAATAAAGACACAAGTACTATTCCATAGATTTCCAGTTACACTGTTGCAGCAAATTGCTAATAGCAAGTTCTTACACCTTAGCATTCCAGAAATTATCAAGCTGATGTTACATTATGTTGTCATGAAGCATAATAAACTCCTGCAAAGCATGCTGCATGAGAAAAGTGAAAATGCTGTATCATTTCTCATTCAATATATACCTTCTTATGCAAGCCAGTGAGTCTTGTGTAGCTCAGAAGTTAGTTTTCTGCACAGATTTTTCTGGTGGGCTTTGTGATTATTGGTTTAGGAAAGTGTTGTCTAAATGAAAGGTTTCTCTGTTTCTGCTTACAGCACAACTGTAAAATAAAAGAGTATAAAACCTTTGTTTGGCTTCATAAAAATAGTAAAATTGTGTAATGAGTTAAGTTTTCTAACCAATTTTAGCTCTAGCTAGGAGTGGAAGGACTTTTTTGACTTTTCTTCAATACATAGATAAGTGTTTGAGTAAATCCAAACAAGTTTAGTTTTGCAGCTGTAAAATGCATTTTAATCTGTAACGGAAACAGGTTTGTTAGTGCAATGGTAAGTAAATTTTCTTTTCTATTTGGGTTATCAAAAAAGTGTATTCTTGCCATAGAGCATCTTTGTTATGTCTGTTTTGAAATGTGTTGGAACTGGAAAAGGAACTCTGTAAGAATGAAGAGCAGAACCCTGGCTTCCCTAAAGTAGTTCACATTCTGTGTTTTGCTTTATTTTCAGCTGATGTTGTTTTTGTGTTGATGGGTTTGTTTTAATTTGTTGATGCAGTTGTGTTTGTCACGTGGCTTAATCTCAGTGTGATTAAGAACAGAAGAGTAATATACTCTTACCTGTATTTATCCAGCTCATTTTCACTCAGATGATATTTATGTCACCTGAATATCAAGAGTAGTGGCTATGTTTCAATACCAGGGTCTGTTTCCTTCAGAGCAAGATCAAAACCTTTAGAAGTTGTGAAGTTGGGTCTTGTTCATTGCTGTGCATATGTGGGAGGTTGCATTAATTCTGATATCTTTATTTTATTTTCAGGGCCCTAACTCAGTCATGATCGCCCTGGTAATGCTGTTGAATATTGGTTTAGCCATTCTTTTTGTCCATTTTCTAACTTGATTGGAATTAGGAAAGGTAAGAAAGGTCTTGCTTTCGTATAAAATCACCATATCCACCCCACCTTAAATGATATTTAATTTCTTCACATACTTTTAATGTTCCCCACTTTAATTTTAGCTATGCCTGAATGTGATTCAACATAGTTATTTAATATTGTAACTGTTTTGACCCTTCAGTGAAGTCATGACAACTAGTGGTGTTAGCCCACAGTTCTCTGCAGTTGTGTCATCAGCCTTTTAAATGGCACCTGTCATACTCAGACACAGGGAAGGAGGCTTGGAATTAGGATGGGACGCAAGAGAGATGAAACTTGGAAAATTCAGCCAGGGGCCCAGATCAGCTTCTCTGCTGGTGGCTCGTGGCTTTGGGGTCCTCTGAAAGCTGAAGCAAGCAGCCATGTTGGAAAACAAACAAAATAATCTGCTGAAGCAGCCCCGCCAGTGAAGCGCGTTGGCTTGTCCATCTGTTCCAGCAGGGTGTGACTAAAGTGGAAATGTACGGAGCTGCACTTTTTGTTGATGGAAGTTAACAGCTGCCTTACTATTTTACCGTCTGATGTTTTTAGTGGGGAGATGGGAAAACGACTGCCAGAGGAATGTGGTCAGAGGATTCTGTTGCTGTGGAAGTGATTCCAGCGTTCACTCCTATCTCATTAGAAGAAATAGTTAGCAACATCAGTCACCAGTCTTATTCCATTACCTGCTGCTTTTAACATCTCCTGCAGTGTTCTGGGAGATCGAATTTCATTTGCCTGTGCATGATTCTGTTCATTTGTTGTTTATGAAATTTGATGTATAGCCATAAGTAGTGTTTAGTCCAACCCGGAGAAAGCTACCAGTTCTGCCTAGCAGCAGAAGGAGAAAATAAAATATATTTTCCTAGTCCAGGGATAAAATTCTTAAATTCATTTTCTCAAACCTGAATAGTCGTTTTGAATTAAGGTTCAGTAAATAATATACCATTACTGCAAAACTCAAACTGCTATCTTCCTTAAAATCTCAAATACTTATGACCAATACCAAGCAAAATTTTCATGATAAAAAAAGGAATCTTACATTGGTATAAGCACATTCTAAACAGGAGAGAGAATATCAAAATAAGAGAAGAAAGGTGAGATATAGGGTTTGCATGTTGGCTTTTTTTTCTTTTTTTCTTAATTCTGGTGCTGTGGTAATTGGTGATTTGAATTATTATGTTGCAACACTGAGGTATTTTGACAGCAGTTAAAATAAAGTCTTGTCTGGGTGCACATTAATGCCAATGACAGTTAAGCTAGCTAATGCTCTAATAAATCACAACTTTAAAATGCTAGATTTGTGTTGAATACATTCAGGTAGAGCATTTAAAAACGTTAAGTGATTGTTTATCAATTTGATGCCTTCAGTGTCTTTAAAGTCCATTTATAATTTTACCTCAGCATTAAAAAAGCCTCAAAATTTTTCATTTGGAAAGTTTGTCTTAAGTAGTTTCATAGCCCTTTGTTCAAATGATGTGATCATGTTTCTTTTTATGTGCCATTATACTGTAATTATTGTACCCTATATTAATCAAATGCATGCTTATTTATTGAAGATATGTGGTGTGATCATTTGGCAAGCAAAAATTTTAATTTAAAGCTGCGAAAAGCAAAGGGCTTGTATTACAGTTTATTTTATCTCTATTAGAAAATCTTTCATACAGTATAGTTTTTGAACCTGTTTGTAAACTTTCTAAGTTTTTGCATGGTTTAATGGGCAACATTCTTACAAAATACATTAGCTATTTTTTGATGCAGCGTAGTAAAGTATCATAGGTATGGACTGAATATTGTGCAGCGAAGCAGCTCCGAGCTGGGCAGTAACACCATGGTGTTTTTTACAGAAGTATGTTGAGAATCCTGTGTTTTGACCAGTGTGGATAAAGAAGAAAGCAGAAAGAGAGCAAATGAAAATAAAACTTGTATATTTATTAAAAAAAAAAAAAAAAAAAAGAAAAAAAAGAAAAAAGTTTAAACTGTGTTTTAAATTTAGGAAAGTAATTTTTAAATAAGAACAAATTTTAAAAGTTACTGTGTAAGCCTTGAATTAATGGATGAAATGTTCCATCCCACTGTTAAATCACCCCCTGTCTCCTTACACGGAGAGGTAATTTTGTAACTGACATATTTAATTCCTATTAAATGTTTATTTAAAATACTTTATGCTCTGGAAATAATGGGTAACAAAGCTTATGAAAAATGTTTATAAATTTAAGTAAGCATGGTAGTACCATTTATAAATATGTATGATTTATAAGCTTTTTTAAAACAAAGCTCAAACAAATTGTTGGTATTTTTCTAAAATGTGCACAGTTGTATTTTACATGAAAGGCTATTTATAATTGGTTGTTATATTGTACACTACATTTTGGACAGCACAATGAAGCCTGCCAATGTACTTAAAAATGTCATTTTGTCTATTTAAAGTTTCTTGCTGTCAAAGAATGAACTCTTTATCTATAGAGTTTCTCTATTTATAATTCTTGACCCAAAATGTATAATGTACAGTTTTCACAACTGTATTTGCTCTAATAAAAATAAGTTGGTTATTAATAGAGTTTCAGACTACTTTTTCCTGTTTATGAATTACTTTGTTCACTCTTTGGAAGCAATTTTTTCAAACTAATCAAATAAACAAGAGTGAAGCAGGAAAATGGGTGAAATTCTAGTCCCTTTGAAATAATTGTGAGTTACTGTTTTCAACAAAAGTGATTCTGGGAAACAATTAAAAATAAATTTAAAAAAAAAAGTCAAGCTTCCCTTTGTGTCTTCTTTTATCTTCCAATACAGGATTTTGCGTGTTTATAAATTTAGTATCTTAAATTGCACTCCCACTACAAGATGGTTTGATCAATTTTGTTTTTATTGGTGAGTGACCGGTCCATTAACTGCTGCTCTTGTAGGGGAATTCATTTTTTTGGGCTTCACTGCTCCTCGGGATCTTCATAGGTTCAAAATTAACATGAAGTTTGTAAGCCAATATTTACACAGAGAAAATTTGCCCTTACAATTGTCTTAAAACCACTGTATTTGCTGAACTACTCAGCTGAAAATTTTATTTTCCGTTATTCCAGTTCACACTTATAGCCAACTGTACTGAAATCCTAATGTTTGATTGAAGAGGAGAGCAATTTTTATTCATAGTTCCTATTTAATGGAAATATATTTTTAGGAAGTAGTCATTACTGTAATGCTCTGTAAAATAATTCTATGAGCATGAAGCTTACCTTTAAGAATTTTTATTTTCTGGACAATACCTGCTCCATAAAGAAAATCTTCGGCTCTTTAAGGAGAAAAAAATACATTCTCAAGAAAAATAAACAGAAACAACTTTAATGCCAAAAATTTTTAAAGTCAACTTCAGTGAGATGATTCTTCTCTGACATTTGTGATCCACAGTATATATGTTCAGAAATGAAAGTAAAGTGTCCATGAAATATTTCTTAAGTTGTATGAATGTGATAATATATTCAGGCATACAAAAATCTGAAGAGCAACAAGCAAACGATGTGCACAGAAATAGAAGAAAAAATTTCTCATCATTTTCAAGTCATTTCCCATCTGAAATGTTTTTACCAGTGGTTTATATTACAAAGGGTATTACATGACCATGTGTCTGCTGTGCCTAAAGGGAAAAAAAACCCATGGATACACAGTACAACTTCATGATTCGAGATTTGCTCCAGCATGAAAAATTTCACCCCGCTTCTAGCAAGGAAAGCTTTTCTCAGGCAAGGTAGTTTCTCCTGGCACAGTTGTGTGTTTGGCCACAGGTGCCAGTAAGCAGTGAGCTCTCACCCTTGAGTGTGAGGCCAGTTTTCTTGGACAGCCCCATTTATCCGGGTAAACAATATGTACAGTGTGCACAGCAAGGGAACAAGGCTGAGGTGCCAGGCTGAAGAAAAAAAGAGAATCGTCTGTCATGGCTTTTAAGGCCTTCCTTTACTTAGTGTATATCTATATTCTATATTTTAGTTTGCCTTTCCATCAGAAAAGCAATAAGGAACACGAAGAGTGAGGAATTGTTGGCATTTGCTTTCTAAAAGGATGGGTTCACTTTGAAAGGAGAAATTTTGAGACATATGGCTATAACTTGCCTTTCAGATATAGATACGTATGTTTAAAAAATCATAAATACAGGCTAGTTATGACTTTAAAAGAAGTAAACACCTCTTTATGAGAGTTAAATTAAAAACCATGAAATAGTTTTTTGCATACCTTTTAATTATATTCTATTACATATTTATTAATTTCTCTGTTAAGATGCACAATATGAAAATATTCTGACAATAACGTAGATGCAGGGATAAAAGCCTGGAGAACTCAGCACATGCTGAGCCTCACTAACAGTTATTATTAATAAAACATGGTTGTGAATTGTATCTGAATGGTTTTACTCATAGCTCATTTGAACTGTTTAGTCAGGGGAGTCGGTCCTACAGGCCATTCTCCTATGGAAATGTAATTCAGTAAACAAAGCAAATTAAGAGGAGGGAGATTAAATAAGCCTTTCAAATGAAATAGTCTTCTCATTCTCTCATTTAATATTCACAGAAACAGCCAAAAATAGAAATTATGTTAAGTCTGAGCAAGAAGCTGTGTGTGCCAGCATGCTATAGCTGAGCCATCTACGATATCCGTCTCCAGTTTTTTCCTACTCCATACAGAAACTGCAAACTAAGAGACATTACACCTCCCACCATTGTAGGAGGTAAATATAATTCCATATTCAACATCTTTAAGAAAAACAGTCTATAATGTCTGTGGCTATAAACTAGAAGGACAAAAAGCACTTCCTCTCTCTGAACAGTTTATGTTGTGACCATGACTGTAACAGCAGAACAAATCCCTCACCCCCCTAACACCAATAGCAAAAATACAGCTGGCAGCAGAATTTGATAACAATCTCTCATGTTTCTTTCTTTTATTCACTACAAAGAGGGGATGGGGGGAGAACAGGGAACAGACAGTTTATTTTAACCTGATAATCTTCATCATGTACTTGTTTTAGCTAATGCTTTTCACAGTCCGTTGGGACTGGTTATCTAGGAGATTTTAGGTGAAAACTGACAGTATATTGAATGTCATTTCTTAAGAGGGTTTTGAATTTTTCTCAGTAATGAGAAAAAAACTAGATTTCCCTTACCACCAGTGAAAATGGATTTGGTGGTATTTTTGCTGTGCCATCACTGTTTTTCTAACTATCTTCTGTCCTTCACTGCCCACTCACCTCCCCGTTCTGACAAATTCAACTTAATCAGTTTTGCCCTGCATGTGGACATTGCCCCAAGACTTCAGGTGCTCACTCCAGAAACCTGTGTTTTCTGTGGGCCACTTGTTCAGTGTTTCTAGCTCTGTGTGGCTGTGGAGCCTGTCTCTCCTGCAGTTTGCCCCACAGCAAACTGCACTTTTCACATCACAGTTTTCATTGGGTCCATTCTCTGCATACTGTCGATGCTGGTTTATGCAACTGTATTATAATTTCAAATCTACTCTCATTATCTCCAGTGTCAGGACAGTGATTTAAATACAGTGTGTGGGAACTGAAAAGAAAAATACTGAAAGTGATGCCATACACAGAGATTTCTGATGGCTCTTCAGAATTCGTAGAAACCGAGGTAATGCTGACATTATTAGGAAAAAAATCCTGTATCAGCTGAGTTAGGAACTCCTCTACAAATTCCCACACTAAGATTGGGAAAAAGGTTGGCCATGCAGCTGCAGCTGAAGCTGAGCCTCAAATCAGAAGGAGTCTGAGGGTTGTCATTTACTGGGACGGTGCAGTAGGAGGATTTCTGGACCCGATATAGATACATGGGGATTGTTGAACAGAACAAAATACATTTCCTGTGTTGGAAATCTGGGGTTGCTCTCCTGCCTGAGCTTACATATGTCTACCTCCACGTCTTACACTGATTAATCAAGCAGCTCTGTGCAAGTTGGGTCGCATACATTTAGACAAGGACTAGATTTTACATTCAGAAGTGCCTTCAGTACTAATTAAGTAAAGAGCAATAAATGATAGGTGAATCATAGGGCTTAAGCCATGGGCTTTGAACTCTGCTTTTTTAGGTTGATGTCTCCAAACTGGAAGAAAATACAGAATACAGTCAAAGAGTAGAATTTCAGATGTTGTCTTCCACAATAATTGGTATGTTAATCCATTACAGTACCTGAATTAATTTGAGATCATACATGAATTTGAGAAAGAGATTTGTCTTTCTCAACTTTAGTCTGGTCCACTGAATAGCAGCTTGACAGAGACTGTATTAGACCACAAAAGACAGATACTGACCAAGAGCTTTGAGAATGGCTGCCTGTATTTACGTTTCTTCATCTCCACCTAATAATTTAAATTTAAAAATTTACCACCTTCTGAATACCCCATGGTTAGTATTCAGAGACATTGGGGAAGAAGGAAGGAGGGAAGTCATATATTACACTGAAAACCTCAATCTATGAAAATGTTAAATCTGGCCTACAAAATATGCCAAAGGTTGGAAGCATTTAAATCTGGGTTTTGAAGTTTGTAGTTTGGAGCTACAGGCTCTGATTTTGGGATTTCAGTCAGAATCCAAATCTGGATCTGATACCTAAGGCATACAAGTGAAGTACGTGAACCATGAGTGCTGTTAAGGAAGGGACTGGAAGGAGAGGGAGTTACTTTAAATCAGGCTGCTGTAACTCTGGGTTAATTAAACCATTACATTCTGTACTTTCGGAACAGTGTCATTAACTTTATTTAACATAGCAATTTTGCTATATTCAGGACATGTTCCACAGAATACCTCAGAAAGTATCGTCATTCAAGGTAATGGTGCTTAATTACTTACCCAGTTATAGCTGCAGAGTACTTTTATCACGTAATACCACCAAGTCTTCAAAAATATTGTAAACTGCCTTCCATTTAATTATGACAGCTCAGTTCTAGATTTTGTTTAGGC